TTACCCAGCTGTAAAATCAAAACTTTGTTTAATTACCATTATAACTAGCTATCTCACAATGTTTACATATGAATAAAAGCCTACATTAAAATCTGTCATATGAATTGGTCTTTTCATTAGAAATTAGCCTACTGATTGCCACCATTGATGGACAAATTTTTTTTATAATATAAAAAATATCTGTATGACAGTATATTCTGCTGTTCTTCCCTGCTGCACCGAATATCTATACTTTTCAAAGTATCATATTGAAGTTAGAAATTCAAATATTGTGACAAAATAAATTTTGTAGGGTGCCACAAATTTGTTAAAATTTCCAAAGGGTGCCGTGACTAAAGAAAGGTTGGGAACCTTTCACTGCCCTAAACTACACTGAAATGGCGAGAGGCCCGTGGATGACACTGGCAACGAGTTATGTGCATACTCAACCCATGAGAGTTGCTGGCTCCAAGAGGTAGGGTTCTGAGAGACCAAACATCGTAATATTCGCTCTAAGTTCTGGTTGGCCCGCTCTGTTTGACCGTTACTCTGAGGGTGGAAACCAGAGAATAGACTGACAGTCGCTCCCAGTAATTTACAAAATTCTCTCCAAAATTTGGAAATTAATTGGGGTCCCCTGTCGGAAACCACGACCGTCGGGAGGCCATGAATGCAAAAAGACGTGGTTCATGATAGCAACCGCTGTCTCCTTGGCAGAAGGTATTTTGGGCAAGGGAATAAAATGGGCCGCCTTCGAGAACCGGTCCACCACGGTCAAAACAACCGTGTTGCCCTGAGAGGGCGGTAGGCCTGTAACGAAATCTAGCACGATGTGGGACCAGGGTCTCGAAGGCACCGACAGCGGCTGAAGAAGCCCCCCTAGGGGTCGATTGGAAGTCTTACCACGAGCGCAGACAGAGCAGGCCAAAACAAAACCCTGAATGTCCCGAGCCATACATTGCCACCAGAATCACTGTTTAACTAGAAACATGGTATGATTAACTCCTGGGTGGCAAGCCACGCTGGAACAATGACCCCACTGGATAACGTCAGACCGGAAACACTCCGGCACAAATAATTGACTCGGTGGACAACCGCACGGGGGCGTTACCCCTTCTAAAGCAGTGCGAACTCGACTCGATCTCCCAAGTGAGTGTAGAGACCACTAGTCTCTCAGGAATAATGCACTCAGGAGAGAGTGGGCGCTCAGAGTGATCAAAAACATGAGACAAAGCGTCGGGTTTAATGTTTTTGGAACCCGGATGATAAGAGATCAAAAAATCGAAGCGACCAAAAAAAAGTGCCCACCGAGCCTGCCTGGAGTTGAGACGTTTGGCAGACCTGATGTACTCAAGGTTCTTGTGATCAGTCCAGACGATAAAGGGAACCCCCGAACCCTCTAGCCAGTGACACCACTCCTCCAGCGCTAACTTAACCAACAGCAACTCTCGGTTACCAATGTCATAGTTGCATTTGGTGGGAGACAAACGTTGAGAAAAAAAATCGTTCCGTTACAGTAATAAACAGAGGATTCAAGCGCGAGTGCACATAAAACTTGTAAGATTATTGATGCCATTTGGCTGGATCAGAAGAAGGTCACAGTAGCAAAGCTGCGTCCAGGGTTAAGTACATACTAAATCTCAGGTTAGATGGAGCATGGGCACATCAGGTGAGGTTATGGGTTTCTGACTAACCGCTTGACCTTAGTTTAAGTTGTACTCAGTTACGTTAACCATGCATATTGTTTCAGCATTAATTAAGTTGTACGGAGTTATATTAGCTATCGGGGGCTAGTACCGGATCACTGGCTACCGTCGTTGGACCAGTGGGCGGACCTTACAAACTGTTTATTAACAAACTTGCAGGAAACAGAACACAAGGAATGGCTTCACGGGTGCAACCGGAGATAATCCTGGACGTGCTGATACAAAGTTTCATAAATCCACAACAGGAATCCAGTCGGAACAACAGCTATAGTCCAGAGCACGAAACAGAGACTGACTGGCACGAGAGCTCCGCCAGGGCTAGATTCCACACCTCTACCACAACGATCTGACAACAAGAGGTAGGAAGCAACTGATTATATAGGGAAGCTGATGAGCCACAGCTGAACCTGATCTGCTCATCAGCGAAGGGAACACACACACACACGGAGAGAGGGCGAGAGAGTCAATGAACCTGCGAACCGTGACAGTATGATTGACCCCTGCTGGCATTATGTCATTTGTAGTGGTGTCCAAAACCATAGTAGACATTATCAAGTACACTCATTAAATCCCATAATGCACCACATTAACGAATGTACAATCTAGGCATCCCCAAGTATTTTTTTGGGGGGGGGATATTAAGGCTCCAGCCGTAGAGGCGGGGGCTGGAGCCAGGGCCTCGGAGGCTGCTTTGCCATGGCCTCCTGAACTCCCTGCTCCGCCATGGCCTCCCGAGTCACCTGCTACTTGCGGATCAGGGCGTCATGGATCCCGGAACGGGCGCCTTCCAGGAGGGGGGAGAGATATGTCAGACTCTGGTATGTGTTTTGTGTGTGTTTTGCTCCTCATGTGCCTTTCTGTGTTTCCTTATTTGGTCATTTTCCTGTCCTTGTTTAGTTTAATTATGATTCCATTCAGCTGTGTTCTATTAATTACCCTTGTATTTAAGTTCCTGCCTGTTCAGTTTCCCTTTTGTCTGGTCTACTCGTTACGTGGATGTGTTTCCTGCTGTCTCCTCTCTCCTTAGTTCCGGTTATCCTTGTGTGTGTGTCGTGACAATAGGTAAGTTCATATAAAATATCTGAATTTTTTCACACTTTTCATTCTCACTAATTCAAGTTTTTATATTAATGAATCTCTGAAGGGAACCGACTGTCTTCAGAAAAATTTTTGATGCCATTTTCATATTAACTGATAAAGCAGCATTTATGAGCTTTTCTATATAGCCGTTACCGGGGAAACCGCTATATTTGTGATGTTCCAAAAGCACCTCCTGCTGGCAGAGAATGAATGTTCATTTTCAGTAATCCAGTCTGCAGTTTTTGTTTAGACCAATGCGAAAATCCACCCACATAACCCTGTTTTAAATTAATATAATACTTTATACTTCTGACTCATTCCTTTTCTTAAAAAAAAGGTTTAAAGGCTCAATGGTGAGGTTTATCATTTTATAATTTATTTAGTTTTTTTGTGAAAACCTGTATCTCAACTGTAAATCAATTGCACACTATAAAAAAAGATGGTTATTTTTCAGCTTTGTTCAGTTGAGGATACTTCTCTCCTCTTCTCTACTAAGTAATTAGTATATTAAATGTATAATCCATATTGTTAAGATTTTAAATTATTACTTGCATAAACTCAGACAAACAAACAAACATAAAAGAAACTTTAAAGCTATTATTTTTTTATATTACATTTTCCTTTTAACATTGCGAATGGCTCAAAGTGCTTTTGGCTTTCAGAAACATAACTGCTTTTACATTTACATTTATAATTTAGCAGACGCTTTTATCCAAAATTACTTACAAATTAGGAGAGCAATAGAAGACCAACAAGAGAGCAACAGTATACAAGTGCTGTGACAAATTCTCAGTTAGTCTAGAATAGTACACAAGGTATTATTATGTTTTTAATATATAAATTAGAAAAACAAATAGAATAAAATAGAATAGGTAAGTACTAATATTAATTGGTCAGGTGCTGACAAAAAAGATGTGCCTTTAGACATTTTTTGAAAATGGTTAAAGACACAGCTGCTCAAATTGAGATAGGTAAGTCGATCCACCAGCTGGAAACGGTTTACTCAAATGGAAGAAACCAAACAGATACTCAGTACTTTTTGGTATTTAAATACTTTTTGGTATTTAAGGAATCACATTTAAACTTGACATTCTTATTTTTATTTCTTCTTTTATATATTCTTATACATATTATACATATTTTCAGGTATTTTTAAAAAACTCAAATTAACTTTCCATGGCCATAGTTATAATATTAGGGGGAAAAAATGTATGTGCGCTTCAGTACTGAATAATATGAACTCTGCTTTATGAACTCAAACACAATTTGCATTTTAATACAGGTATATTTGGTATAAATGGTTTCTGTACCCAAACATCACAGTTTTGGCTTTTACACAGAATCTCACAATATATTTTCAGTACATCATTAGACAATAACGTATTACATCTATAAAAACATAATTTAAATATGTATTCCACCAAAAGTTCAATCCTGAATTCCTTTGATATCTATTTTATTATTTGTGTATATATTTATGCCTGTAAATTTCTATGCGCTCTATGCTTGTGATTTGAGACACCGCAGCGTGTGAACGAGACTTTTATTTTGGTATAGCGATGTGACGTCATGAGGCTGCGTCTGTTGTGCTTTGGCTGAAGAAAGGTTTGTGTTTTAAGCAATTAAGGTGTTTAAATCTATACAGACCGTTCAGTTATTTTTTGTATATTTTATAGTAAATTATAGTAATGTATTATAAGGTGCTTTATCTATCATTAATTTCGTTTTTGTGCGTCCGCGTATGAGTAACGGAAAGGTGCGTCTCATCTTGCTCTCTATATTTTGAATCAGGTTGTCGTGAACAGGATTTCGGTCACTGGCAAGAAGTGATGGAGAAATATTTGTTTTTCGGAATTTGACATGAATGATTCACTGTCTCGACGCGCTCGAATCACCACACGGTTACATTACATTTACATTTAGTCATTTAGCAGACGCTTTTATCCAAAGCAACTTACAAATGAGGACAATGGAAGCAATCAAAATCAACAAAAGAGCAATGATATACAAGTGCTATAACAAGTCTCAGTTTGCTTAATGCTGTACACGTAGCAAGGTTTTTTTATTATATAATAAATAAAAAAAACTGATCGAATAGAAAAAGATTAGAGCAAGCTAGTGTTAGAGGCCTTTTTTGCTTTTGTTAATTGTATAATAAATAAAAATAAAACAAGTAGATAGAATACAAAACGATTAGAGAAGCTAGTGTTCGTTTTTTTGTTTTGTTTTTAAAGAAAACAAGCAGTTAGGTAAATGAATAGAGTGCAAGTCTAAAAGGGGCAAGTTTTTTGGGGGGATTTTTTATTTATTTATAAAGAATAGATTTAGAATAGAGAGTGCTAGAGTTAGAGGGTCAAATAAAGATGGAAGAATTCCGATTCTTGAAGATGGCTAAGGACTCAGCTGTTCGGATTGAGTTGGGCAGGTCATTCCACCAGGAGGGAACAGTTAATGAAAAAGCGAGTGAAAGTGATTTTGTGCCTCTTTGGGATGGCACAATAAAGCGATGTTCACTTGCAGAATGCAAGCTTCTAGAGGGGACATAAGTCTGAAGTAATGAATTTAGGTAAAGGGGTGCAGAGCCAGTGGTGGTTTTGTAGGCAAACATTAATGCCTTGAATTTTATGCGAGCAGCTACTGGTAGCCAGTGAAAATTGATAAACAGAGACGTGACGTGCATTCTTTTCGGCTCATTAAAAATTTATCTTGCTGCTGCGTTCTGGATTAATTGTAAAGGTTTGATAGAATTGGCTGGAAGACCTGTTGACGACACGTTGTTCCAAAAATGTAAATGCACAATGCAATGAGCACACAAACGTGTATGATGGCAACTTTTACAGATCAATACAAATTTTTTTTTTCATAAAAGTGTGATTTATTAAGTATAATCTATTAACCAATAAATATGCCATGTAATAAATAAGACGTACCTTTCTGTTAATTATTCTTATCTTAAACAAAAATTGCCAAAACACACAGAAAAAAACTCCCGATGAAGCAAATGAGATCCATGTGACTTTTTAAAGATGGCGTTTATTAAAGAGGAGAGTGAAGACGTGAAGATTGAAGAAGCATTCAGAGTGAAACAAGAAGATGTTGAGGAACAAACAGGTTGGTTTCCATTCTCAAAAGTTAATTTAGTCATATCTTATTAAAATGTTGGAATTTATTAAAGAGACGTGTGAAGACATGAAAATGTTGGAACTGATTAAAGTGGAGTGTGAAGACATGAGGACTGAAGAAGCATTCAGAGTGAAAAAAGAAGATACTGAGGAACAAACAGGTTGGTTTCCATTCTCATTTATATCTTATTCAAATTTTGCCCTCTACAGAAATTTTAATTGATATTGATATGATACTAAATTTATATTTTTGAAGAATGTCATATAAGTGGCCTAACAGATCATTCAATGTAGTGGTCACCATAATTTAGGGCACACCCTGGAGCACACAGTGACAACAAACAGAACAAACCACAGATAAAAAGCTGATCAGTTTACATTTTGTACAACTGCTAACTTATATATAAATCTCTTAAAGTCCCCCTGTAGTGAAAATCAAGTTTTTTGTTGTTTATTTGTCTATGTGGTGTTTTTAATATGCTTTTAGACAAACTATGTGCCAATCTATTAATCAACACCATTGCTGAGTATATTCTCCTTAAAACTGTAGTTTCCCAAAGGCAGTCCCAGAAATGCGGTTTGAAGCGGCCCTCGGTTTGCTACGTCACAATCCAATAACCAATCACGTCAAGTGATCGATTCCTATCACTAGCATGCAAAATACACCAATACCAGCACAAAACCAACAATAAATCAGAGCAAAAAACCCATGAAGCTGTGGTTCAATGTGAATTTAGAACCGCTAACTTGCATTATAACCCGTGGCAACAGTGTAAAAGTAGCCCGGAGTCAGACGCACCTCTCCCGCAGCTGCGTCTGCACTTCAGAAGCGTATGCTCGCGGGCGCGAATTAAGAATCACAAACGGCTGCATTCGAGTCTTCAAGGCATTTTAGGACACAACATCGTCAAGTAAGTAACTTTAATGAATGTTACAGTATTCACTGTAGTTGTCCGCTAGTAAAAATATAGTTTTATCAGTCATTATCCATGAATGCCACAGTGGCGTTCCGTCCATATAAGCTGCGAATGCTCCACATACCCAGGCTGTCTGAGAGAATGAGTTCACGGGCTAATTAATATAAACATGATTATAAGTTGATCTTGTCATTTGAGATGTGACTTAAAGCTTAATAAAGTGTTGGGAATAAGCATGTAAAATTATTTATTTGAAAACAACGGCAATTTTCAGTTGCGGTTGCTTCCGGGCGAGCGGATTCTCCTCCGCTCTATTGCTGTGACTCTTCAGGATTATAGCGCGTTCTCAGTGATTTGCTGGTCTGCAGGAGATTTCATGAGCGAGGTAAGCTGTCTGCAAAGCGCTCGCCCAAGTGGAAAAATCCGCTGTTGCTGTCAGATCTCGATTGCCGAAACTCGACTAAATCATATGAAAAAAAAAAAGACATCATAACTGTATATTTTCCGTATACTTGTGTCACTTACAATTAAAGTCATTTTCTGATTTTATTGTTGTTTGCAACATTACTTGGCAATATTTTAAAGATACTACTATTATTATTATTATTTTATTTATTTAATTTGATGTATTCATTTATTTTTATTTTTATTTTTTTTATTTTGCATGGTCTATTATTGGAGTAGTGTCGCCCGGGTGGGAGTTTACTGGGAATAAAAATGAATGAATTAATGAATAAATTAATAAATAAATCATTCAGTCGATGCAGAGACATATAGTGCGGGGGAATCCCCCATCTCCCCACCCTCTGAATATATCATAAAGTAACTACTTTATTTGGCGGTTTTTACTCAGAAAAGCAGCTGTTTTCTAGCATTCGAATAACTACCTCAAACTATAGAAAAAGGATTAGAGATGAATTTCCTTTACAAATAAATTAGGAATGTGCATACTTTTAAATCGACACCTGCCACAGTGTTTTCCTCTTTGAGTGTGTCTTAAAAGCGATGGGGAGGGGGGCTTAATCTTATCACTCAGCATACCTGGTTAAAAAAGTCACCGCTCGCCACTAATATGCCATTGTTTTGCGTTTACTACAGTTCAGTGGATCAGGAGGCGCTGGCTGGTGTGACTGAGTAGAGGCGGGACTAATTTGCATATTCATAGATCAGCGTATAGTAAATGAGGCAAGGGTGTAGAGTTACATTCAAGCTATTTTAAGGCATGAGAAAATTATTTTCACAAGAAAAACATTTAAAAGTGTAATTTTGATGATCAAAGATACGTTTTAAGTTTTTTTTCTTCTCTCTGGTCCTCGAATCTGATTGGCTCAGAGCCTTTTCCAGGAGTACAATTTTCTGGTGATAACAGATCTCCAACCATTTCACTCATTTTATAAATAATACTGTTTTTGTTTCACAGAATGTAGTTTTAAGAGTTTTTTTAGGCGAGAATGTAATTGTTTAGACTTCAGATGTGCAGTTTGTTAATGAAGATAACATCGATTTGAAAATTTGCTTCGTTGTTTTCGGAGATGTGAGCTCCAGGGCGTTAGCGGCTGTTCAGCGCTCATGAACCCGCCCCGCAGCCTTTGTATTTTTGACTGAATTGCAACTTTTATGATGGCTGTTGTTGTTTATTATGTATTATTATTATTCAATAAATAATATTTTATGTAAATAATAATAGTATTTAATAGTAGTTTTTAGTATTGGGAAATCTTGTGTGTGTTCCTGATGGTTCTAAACTGACATTTTCAAATTAGCAACGAGGCTTGGTCTCAGCTGTAAACTGTCAAACTGAGATTTGAATCTATGGCGGAAGGAAGTAGTTCCACACAAAAGGGGTTTTTAAAGACATTCCGTTGTTGTTTTTTATGTCTTTACACACTCATGCGGTCGAACTGTTGTATAAACGAGTAGCCGTGTGATATGGCTGTATATCAGCACAGCTGTGATTACTGTACCTACGGCTGAATCACGTGCTGATATACGGCCATATCTCACTGCTACTCATGTGATATTGCTCATATATAAACTAAAAATTTGTAATTGTATCATAACTTGAGGGTGAATTGTGTGATTATCTTGACCTATACTGTATGCCACTATTAATATCCCTTCCCCATTTTTGGCCTCTAGAAAGTAAAGAGACTTTATGGTGTTTTATAGGAAGACTTCTTATACCCTGCAGCTCAAGCAGTACCTTCTTTTCAATCTTTATTTTCTTGCACTTTCTTAACATTCTTAACACTTCTTGTTAACCAACAAAAAACAGATTTAAAAACAAAGATGCTTGTCGTCTTTGACAGTTGTGTGATTCTGGGCCTAATGGAGATGTTGGAAGAAATGACCTGCCTATCTAACAACATCAAGCCTATTTTGTGGTGTCATGAAGCTGCTTATCGTACTTGACAACAGCAATACTATGGATTTAGAAGACAATGGGATCCAGTACTGGAACATTGCTTGTAAAGATAGAGGCATGCATGCAGTCAGTCTGTATTGAATAAACCCATAGGCCGGCATGCAAACTGGCCTTAGAACATGAATAACATTGACAGTAACATTGACATTGACAGTGATAAACCATTCACATTCTTGACATTAATTTTGCAAGCTTATCATACCATCACAAAAGCAAAGTTTAAAGAATTTCCTGAGTGTTTAATGACCAACCTTTTTTATTTAGCCGTCTTACAGAAATTTCTAAGATGGCAATCTCTTTCATCTTAGTATTATTGTATAGTAGCTTAGTATTATTATTGTATTGTTCCACTTTTTCTAATTTTAAGAATAAGCCCAGCGAGTGAAAAAAATCTGTCAGGGGATCAAAACTAAATACAACACTTTTCTTCAAAATAAAGTATGTTACACAGTTTTGCTTCGCAGGTGCTTTTGCTGCTTTTAATGTTATGTTTAGATTTTTTAACTGTAAACAAGAGAGTCATTCTGCTTGTCTTTCCTGAGTTTCTCTTTGTGTACCTTTATTGTACACTTACGCAGACAGCTGTGAGAGTATCGAAGGGAGGGAAAAAAACTAACAGTGTCTTTTGGACAGAAAAGAAGGGATTCAGTCTACTGACCACATTGATTTTTGCAGGAATGGAATCGCATTTAGCTAATCCAATTAGAGCATTCTCAGGGTCCCTATTTCCCCTTTGTTTTGCGGTTACTCACTATCTATTGATCTAAATGGGGCTCCCTACCAGCCCTACAGTGAGAGTCTGGCTGACTGCTCCCTGCTGATCTAAGATCAGTGATTTAAGCACTGTGTCTGTCTGTTGCTGAGCTTGCAGTCTGATTGCTGCAAGTTCTGCTGGATCATCAGTCTGATGCTGGATGAATCTTCCCTTGAATTTGGGATGCATGCATGTATTTATTTATCTATCTTATACTTAATTTTTATTTGTTCATTTTGAATTTTTGGCTGGTAAAGTGCAGTTTTTTGCCTGGTGATTCAAAGCTCATTGTCATGTTATGAAAACCTGCACTATATTCTTATTATGAATTGTAGGTTTTTCCATGCCCCACATCTAGTTTAGAGAGTTGACCGGAATTAAATAAGATGAGATTGAAACTGATGTCTAGCCCACCCGGTGGCATACAGACTATATTTCAAAACCACATTTCTATAGTTACCCCCTTTCCAGAGTAACTTTATCTCTACAACACACCAAGGGCTCACCATTTGCCGGTTATAGTAAGGTAACTAATGCTTTTCACATGACGTAATACTTTATTGGTACGATACGCATTGTAGCAAGCTGCCAGACAATGAGGTGCTTTTAGTGTGCATATGAGGATTTTTTAAACATTTAACAGCATATGGTATACTTACTGATTCTTGAAGATAATACCTAACAGGATAATATGGGGCCTCATGTGCAGCTTTTAAACCCTTAGTGGTTTACATGAGTTCTAACTTTCATTTTTCACAAATCCTCAAATACCTTGCAGGCCTTCCAGATATGTTTGGACGTTTATTCGAAATTGAGTGGTTTTATCTGTAAGGCTCCGTCCCTTCATATGGTATCTAATCACAAAGGAGGCGAATGTTTTTCTGAAAATGCACCGTGTGGATTTAATAGCTAAATGTTAAATGCCGAATTGAGCCCATACTAATGGTCTTGCTAAGAAGAGAGTCAGGAGAGAAAGAAAACTAGCAATACATTTCAGAGCTGTCCGTTCAGAGCAAACAGCCATGGATTACCAATCAGACCACATGGAAGATTAATGGCCAGGCT